TTTTCCAAACGTTAATTATATAAATAACTTAAAAACTCAAAAGAGTACAATCGAAGTGTCAAAAACCAGAAAATTGGACCACTCCCTTGTCATCACAAGACAAGGGGTACAAACTCCATCTAGGAGATAAACAACCAAAAAACAGAACTACAAAAAGCAAAGCAGACAAGCTGCACTGAAAGCAGACAAAGCTGCACTAACACACCAACAAAAACAAACGATAAAACGTAAAACACAAAAAAAAGGCTATCCACACCACAATCAACGAGATCCCACGCAGTCACAAGCCGAAACCTCAAGCCCGAAAACTGCGGCCACACGTGCCGCCTAGACGGATCTGGAGAAGAGACTGCTCAAGGTTCAGATTTGAACTCCGAAAATCATCAACGTTGAGGGAGAAACGGTAGCCGCAACAAGAACTAAACACACACAACTCAAATTAAGAAAACTAAACAAAATAAAAACAAATCAATCCCTTCCCAAGCAGCAAGACCAAACTAAGTCAGCGGAACCAAGCCGACCAAAGCGAATTCCACAGCTAAGAGGATCAACTCCGAAACTGCCCAACACCAACACGGTGGCCTAGCGAAGTCGAAATCCAAGCACCGAAAATCACCCAAAGCCGGACTCAAACCGCAACCACAATATCCGAACTGCCAAAGAACCGTCACTGGACCAAACCCTTAACACCACTAGAGAGCCCAGACAGCACCCGGTTAACCCCCCACTCTCAGAGCCTGAGCAAAGAGGAAAGCAGACAGACATCAGGGCCGCAGCCTCGACCCCCAAACCTCGTAATCATGCACGTGCCTGTCAAAACACACAAACCAAAAAGGATGCAATTAAGAACTAAAGTATTAAACAAAAATAAAAATGACTAAAGTAATATCTACCCGTCTTCTTCTAATATTAATTAATTTTAACGAAACAGTCCCCGGCAACGGCGCCAAAAACTTGTTCGCAAAATATTTTTACTACCTGCAAGTGTACGGTGTAGCTGTAGAAAGCGGCGAGCAATGTCGTATTCCACAGAGACTGTTGTTAAACTAATTAAGCACCAGAATATAGACGATTAAATATTATCTAGACTAATGCGAATTCGATTGGAGTTTTTATTCTAAACTAATGAATGAATGAAAAAATAAATTCTAACACTAATGAAGGTTTGTTCTAAATAAATCAAGAATGAGAAAATAGATTCTAGGCTATGCTTTCCTCGGGATTATTCTAGCAAAGTTTTCTTATTCATTCAAACCTTATTTAATTCTACCAATCGTAGGGATAATCGCTAAAGTAATTTACACCTTTCTCTCGAACAAGTTAAATTGTAGATATTAATTGTTGTCTATCTCCTCTCGGTCTCAAGATGAACAACTAACTCCCATAAGCTCCTAAGATTCTAGTTCCCTCGCAAGATTCTATCAACCTCTCGGTCTGTTTAGTCTCTTACGTTATGAATTTCCCAATTCTAGCAATCAATTATCTCCTCTCAGTCTCAAATCAATTACAAATATGCATTCATAGCGGCCGTCTACTCACACAATAATAATAAGCACAAGAAATAGATAAACGGAAGATAGACCGAAATGAATAAACAAAATCACTTCATGAAATAATCCGAGTACTCGTAAATCCTAGAATCTCAAAGAAATTTTAGCTACTAAACATATTCTCAATACTCAAAATAAATAAATCCATGAGTTCAATGAAGAAGAAAAAGAGAAAAGAAAGAAGAACTATTGTCGCCTTTAGTTCCCGGATCTTCAATCTTGACTTCCTCGAATCCCTCGCGTGTTTCGTGATTTCTCTAGGCCTCCAATGGTGTCCAATCTCCCAAAACCGTGTTCTTTATGTTCCTTATATACTGTAGGGCAGTTATGGGTCGAAAAAGAGATAAAAATCGCGTAGGTTTCTTATTTTCCGCTGGTTTAACTGCGCGTCACACGACTCGTGTCACATGCCACACGAGTCGTGTGACTTTTCTTCAATTTTCGGCAAAGTTCCAGGGCCACACGACCACCCCACACGAGACGTCACACGAGTCGTGTGATCCCACACAACTCGTGTCATGGGCCACACGACTCGTGTGGTAAAGCCACAACAAAAGTCCACAAAAGCTCGATTTTTCTCACCCCACACGACTGGTGTCACGCTCCACACGAGTCGTGTGACCTGTCTGCACCTTATTTTCGTCGGTTTTTGTCCCGATTCCATCTTTAACGCTTTTTCGGGCGTATTTCCTGCAAAACCAACGACAAATATACCTCCATCATAGATTAATAAATCAAACAAAATGGTGTACAATCCCACGATAAACACGGTCAAATATCACACTATATCACTCATAATGCACAAAAATATGATGAATGTCAATGACATTGTCAATCATCAAATTACTGAAAATCTAGCTGCACTTACATAGATCATGGAAAGATGAACTATTAGATATTTTTTTAATCTTAATTAGAATAGATAAGAAATGAATATAAGACCTTGAAAAGTTTGGTTTGTTTCTTCAAAATTTGTACTAATTAAGTGCATATTATTGTTCACATAGTAGCCTCAAAAACTTGGAACATAAACTCCTTATACAAAAAACATCATATACACATTTTACTTAACTATAAAGCAATTATGAAGCACCATGTTTATTCCTTCCAAAATCTCAAAGTCCCCAAAAGCAAAACTAAAGTTAAAAGCCAAATTCTAGTTAAATAGATAAAGAACACACACAAAGATTCTTAAGAGACACAAATTGTGAATACTAAAGAGAAAAAAAGGTTCCTTTCATAATTAATTTATACATATTTTCTAAACAATTTTACAAACTTCCCAAGCAAAGTATCTCCAATCCATTCCTTATCTCAGAAACCAAACACTTATTCCACTCTTCACTCCAAAAACACTTAGCCACTCTATCTATAGATCAATTAATCCATGGCTTGCCTTCTCTTAGCCACTCTACTCATTACATTACATACATTAATTCCCTTGGCTCACACCTCCGGCCATGCTGATACATGCCGCTCGTTTTGCGGAAACCTAACGGTAAGTTACCCTTTTGCCCTCCATCCGGGCTGTGGCCACTCGGCCTTCCGTGACCTCTTGTTTTGCATAAACGACGTCTTGATGCTCCACATCAGCTCTGGCTCGTATCTTGTCCTCGACATAGACTACGCGTACGGGCTACTCGTCCTGCACGAACCACACATGTCCACTTGCGACTCACTCGTTTACGGTGGGCTGGGAAACGGGTTCGTCGTCGAGCCTTGGCGGGCCCGTTATTTGGGCCCAACAACCGACAATGTGTTCATGTTACTGGGCTGCTCGGCGAGGTCTCCCCTATTTCAGGGCTTCCCAGGGAAGAACAACTCGCCGTGTAGGAATGTTTCGGGCCTCGGGTGTGAGGAGTATTACGGGTGTCCTGCCTGGGAGACGTTCGGGCTGAGCAGGGGAGGGCCCATTTATGAAACGGGCCCACCGGATTGCTGTGCGGTGCCGTACGAGATGATTAGGAGTGTGAACCTGTCGAGTCTTGAATGCCAAGGGTACAGCAGTGCTTACAGCCTGGCGCCGTTGAGGGTTAGCGGGCCGGGCCAGTGGGCTTATGGGATCCAAGTTAAGTATAATTTGCAGGGGATTGAGAGTTTTTGTCGGGCCTGCGAAGCTACCGGTGGATCTTGTGGCTATGAGATTGGTGGGAATAGAGATTTGTGCATGTGCGGGAGCTGGAACTCGACTTCTAATTGTGATGCAGGTAATGTAATTAAGACTAATAAACCGAGTTTTGTTGAACTTAGTATTGTTTTCTGTTGTGTTGAGATTATTAACTGGGGTTGTGTAAATTGCATGCAGTAAAATCAGGTGCATTCAGCAATGGAAACTGGTCTCCAGAGGTGAAATTTGCAGGTATTCGAATATATGGCTTTTTTTGTTCCTCGTCGATGGAATAAAAGGCGAATAGATTACTACTGTGCTCGATTCATCGCTCGTCTAAGTGTGAAGCTATCGAGTCAAAGATAAACTAACATGTATAGATATTCTCCTGGTGTAGGTCTCTTACTCATTACAAAGGGATAGGAAATGGAGCAAAATTTTATGAACTATATCATTTTCTGTTGCATTCTGGTGTTGCTTAATTTTACATGTGATAGGGAAAAAATATAGAGAAACGGAAAGTGTAAAAATGGTAAATTTAGACAAAGAGAAGAAAAATTCGAGAGATTGTAACTTGTATACTGTATTTTTTTTTTTTTTTTTT